TCTTAGCCATTCTGACATGTGTAAGATAGTATCTCAAAAAATTGTTTTGATTTGCATTTCCTTGATGGCTAAGGATGTTGAGCAATTCCTTCTTAAGTTTCTTTCAGCCATTTGAGATTCTTCTGTTCAGAATTCTCTGTTTAGTTCTATACCACATTTTTAAATTGGATTATTTGGTATTTTGATATCTAGTTTCTTGAGTTCTTTGTGTATTTTGGAGATCAGTCCTCTGTTTAATGTGGGGTTGATGAAGATCTTTTCCCATTCTGCAGGATGCTATTTTGTCTTTTTGACTGTGTTCTTTGCCTACAGAAGCTTCTCCATTTCAAGAGGTTCCATTTATTAATTGTTTCTCTCAGTGTCTGTCCTACTTGTGTTCTATTAGGATGTATTCTCCTGTGCCCATGTGTTCTAGGCTAATTCCCACTTTCTTTTCTATCAGGTTCAGTGTAGCTGGATTTGTGTTGAGGTCTTTGATCCATTTGGGCTTGAGTTTTATGCATGGTAGAAATGGATCTATTTGCATTTGTCTATATGTCAATATCAGTTATGCCAGCACCATTTGTTGAAGATGCTTTCTTCTTTCCATTGTATAGTTTTAGCTTCTTTGTCAAAAATCAGGTGTTTTTAGATGTGTGGGTTGATATCACAGACTTCAATTTGATTCTCTTGGTCCACCTTTCTGTTTTTATGTCAATACCAAGCTGTTTTCAAGCTCTATTACTGTAGCTCTGTAATAGAGCTTGAAGTCAGAGATGGTAATGCCTCTAGAAGTTCCTTTATTGTGCAGAATTGTTTTGGTTATCCTGGGTTTTTTGTTTTTCCATATGAAGTTTAATATTGTTCTTTAGAGGTCTGTGAAGAATTGTCTTGAGATTACATTGAATCTGTAGATTGCTTTTGGTAAGATTGCCAATTTTTTTTTTTTTTTTTTTTTTTTTTGTCTTTGGGGACAGGGTTTCTCAGTAGCTATAGAGACAGTCCTGGAACTCACTCTGTAGACCAGATTGGTTTCAAACTCATAGAAATTCGCCTGCCTTTGTCTCCTGAGTGCTAGGATTAAAGGTGTGCAGTACTACTAAGCAGCAAGATTGCCATTTTTATTTGTTGATTCTACCTATCCAATAGCATAGGAGACCTTTCCATTTTCTGATATCTTCTTTAGCCTCTTTCTTCAAAGACTTTAAAGTTCTTGTCATACAGGTTTTTCACTTGTTTGGTTAGAGTTACACCAACATATTTTATATTATTTGTGGCTATTGTGAAGGGTGATGTTTCTCTGATTTCTTTCTCAGTTCTTTTATCATTTGTATATAGGAGGGCTACTGATTTTTTTGAGTTGATCTTGTATCCTGCCACATTACTGAAGGTGTTTATCAGTAGTAAGAGTTCCCTGGTAGAATTTTTGAGGTCACTTATGTATACTATCATATCTGCAGACAGTGAAAATTTGACTTCTACCTTTCCAATTTGCATTCCCTAAAATCTTCTTTTGTTGCCTTATTGCTCTAGCTAGAACATTGAATACTATATAGAATAGATATGGGTAGAGTGAACAGCCTTGTCTTGTTCCTGATTTTAGTGGAATTGCTTTGAGTTTCTCTCCACTTAATTTGATGTTGGCTGTCAGCTTGCTGTATATTGCTTTTATTATGTTTAGATATGTTCCTTGTATGCCTGATCTCTTCAAGGCCTTTATCATGAAAGGGTGTTGAATATTATCGTATGCTTTTTCAGCATCTAATGAGATGATCATGTATTTTTTTCTCTTTTAGTTTATTTATATGGTGGATTACATTGACAGATTTTCATATGTTGAATGACTCCTGCATTTCTGGGATGAAGCCAACTTGATCATGGTGGATCCATTTTTTTGATGTGCTCTTAGATTTGATTTGCAGTATTTTATTGAGTTCATGAGGGAGATTGGTCTGTAATTCTCTTAGTTGAATCTTTGTGTCCTTTGGATATCAGGGTAACTGTAGCCTCATAAAAAGGGTTTGGCAATATTCCTTCTGTCTTTATTGTGTGGAACAATTTGAGGAGTATTGGTATTAACTCTTCTTTGAAGTTCTGGTTGAATTCTGCACAGAAAGCATACTTTCCTGGGCTGGTTTTGTTTGTTTGTTTGGGAGCCTTTTGATGACAGCTTATATTTTCTTAGGGATTATATGTCTATTTTAATTGTTTATCTGTTCTTGATTTAATTTTGGTATGTGGCATCTCTCTAAAAAAGTGTTGATTTCTTTTAGCTTTTCCAATGTTGTAGAGTATAACTTTTCAAAGTATGACCTAATGATTCTCTGGATTTCCTCAGTGTCTGTTGTTATTCCTCTTTTCATTTCTGATTTTGTTAATTTGGATGTTCTCTCTTGGCCTTTTGATTAGTTTGAATAAGGGTTTGTCTATCTTGTTGATTTTCTCAAATAACCATCTCTTTGTTTCATTGAGTCTTTGTGTTGTTTTCTTTATTTCTATTTCATCAATTTCAGCCCTCAATTTGATTATTTCCTATCATCTACTCCTCATTGGTGAGTCTGCTTCTTTTTGTTCTAGAGCTTTCAGGTGTGCTGTTCACTGATGTGATCTTTCTCTACTTTCTTTATGTAGGCACATAGTGCTATGAACTTTCCTCTTAGCACTGTTTTCATAGTGTCCCATAGGTTTGGGTATGTTGTGCATTCACTTTCATTGAATTCTAGGAAGTCTTTAATTTCTTTATGTCTTTCCTGACCCAGGGGTGATTCAGTTTAGCATTATTCACTTTCCATGAGTTTGTCGGCTTTTTACAATGAGTGTTGTTGAATCTTAACTTTAAGCTATGGGGTTCCATCTCCTTTGATTGACTTTAATTTGAAGTCTATTTTGCAAAATTTTAGGATAATTACAAGCACTTGTTTCTTAGGTTCATTTGATTGAAAAATCTTTTCCCAACTCTTTACTCTGGGGTCATGTCTATCTTTGAGGTTGAGGTGTGTTTCTTGTATGTAGCAGAAGGATGGATCCTGTTTTCATATCCATTCTGCTAGCCTGTGTCTTTTTATAGGTGAATTGAGTCCATTGATATTAAGAGATATTAATGACCAATGATTGTTAATTCCTGTTTTTTTTTTCCTTCGGTGGTAGCGTTTGTGTTTCCCCTCTTTATGGTTTTCTGGTGTGATATTATGTGTTGCCTGTGTTTTCATGGGTGCAGCTAATTTCCTTGAGTTGGAGTTTTCCTTCTAGTACTTTCTGTAAGATTGCATTTGTGGATAGGTCTTTTTTAAATCTGGTTTTGTCATGAAATATCTTGCTTTCTCTGTCTATGGTGATTGAAAGCTTTGTTGGGTATAGTAGTCTGGGCTGACATCTGTGGTTTCTTATTGTCTGCAGCACATCTATCCAAGACTTTCTGACTTTCAGAGTTTTCATTGAGAAGTCGGGTATAATTCTGATAGGCCTGCATTTGTATGTTACTTGGCCACTTTCCTTTGTAGATCTTAATATTCTTTCTTTATTCTGTATGTTTAATGTTTTGGGTTTTATATGGTGAGGGCACTTTTTTGTTTATCTATTTGATATTCTTCAAGCTTCTTGTACCTTCACTGGCATATCTTTTTTTTAGGTTGGGAAAGTTTTCTTATATGATTTTTTTGTCGAATATATTTTCTGTGGCTTTGATATGAATTTCTTCTCCTTCTTCTATCTCTGTTATTCTCAGGATTGGTCTTTTCATGGTGTCCCAGGTTTTCTGGATGTTTTGTGTTATGAATTTGTTGAATTTAACATTTTCTTTGACTGATGAATCTATTTTCTCTATTGTATCTTCAACTCTTGAGATTCTCTCTTCCATGTCTTGTGTTTTGTTAGTTATAATCACATCTGTAGTTCCTGTTCATTTACCCATATTTTCCATTTTCAGAACTCCTTCGGTTTATGTTTTCTTTATTACCTCCTTTCAGTTTTTAAGTCTTGAACTGTTTGAACTGTTTCCTTTACCTGTTTGATCATTTTTTTTCTTGGTTTTATTGGCTTTCTTTAAGGAATTTGTTGATTCCCCCCCCCCCAGTTTTATTGTCTTTTCCTCCATTTCTTTAAGGCAATTTTTCATTTCTTCTTTAACAGCCTCTATCACCTTCATATTTTTAAGGTTGTTTTCTTCTACTTTATCTGTGTTGGGACGTTCAAGTCTTGGGGCTATAGAACCACTAGGTAGTGGTTATTGCTCTTTGTGTTTGTGATTGTATTCTTATACTGTCGTCTACCCGTCTCTTCCTCCAATCGGTGCATGTGGAGCCTCTGAGTATCCCTCTTCCTCCAGTTAATACAGGTGCTGCCTATAGTTCAGGTAGTCACTCTTCCTCCAGGTGCAGTTGGGGCCTGTGGCTGCGGTGGTCACTGGTGCTGTCCCTCCAGGTGCATTTGGAGTCGGTGGGGCTGGTTGTTGCTGCTGATCCAGGTGTAGATGGGGCTGGTGGGGCTGGTGGTCACTGGTGTGGCAGCAAGGGACGGTTTTGGTGAGAGAGGGTGCTGCTGCCTGGTCACCGGACTTTTTTTCCTTTTTCTTTCTTTCTTTCTTTCTTTCTTTCTTTCTTTCTTTCTTTCTTTCTTTCTTTCTTTCTTTCTTTTTTTTTTTTTGGAAGGTCACTGACTTTATTAATCTAGAAATATTTAAGGAGAGTGACTATTTTTGCCAAAAAAAGGGGGGGGGGGAGCCAAAGGACATCCAACAGATGGTGAAGGGAGGGAGAAAGGGGCCAGAAATCTATTCAGGAAAGCTGGTAGCTGTTGCCTTCGACCTGCAGGGGGAGGAGGGGCAAGGCATGCAAGGGCAAGAATTCCAAAATGGATGAAAGGCTGTGGGGAAAAGAACTCCCAAAAGACCCCCGGAGTACAAAGGAGGTGACTGTGACAACAGCAATCTTTTCCTTCATGGGGACAGGGAGGAGCCCCACCCAGCTGCTGACTCTGGAGACTAGATTCTGTGGCTGAGGGGACTGAGGAGTCCCCAGAGTGCACTACCAGAAGGCATCACACCATTCTCGAAGGCACCCAAAGCAGTCCCGGGACTGCTTGGCATTGGCACCACACATGTCTTTCAGCCATTCTCGGAAGAGGTCTTCGTCTTTCTTTAGCACCAGAAACTGGCCAAGAACCACATAAGCCTTATCAAAGCCCCTTTCCTCCAGCTTCTTGCCCAGGACTTCACCAATCCCGGCCAGGCTCCCCACTGGCTTTTCTCCCATGGGCTCTGCCACGAAGTCTCGATGCTTTTGGGAAGTTGTCAACTTGATCAGGTTTAACCGGCAGCTCCGGCTCTGGTAACGGCTGCTCGCGCTACTCGGCAGCTCCCGCCGATACCTCAAGCTACTAGAACGTTCCTCTTTTTTTTTTTTTTTTTTTTTTGAGATGGAGTTTCTTTGTGCACCTTGGCTGGCCTAGAACTCACTATGTATACCAGGCTGGCCTTGAAGTCACAGAGATCTGCCTGCCTCTGCCTCCCAAGTGCTGGTATTAATTAATAGTTTATCTTAAAGATACATTTTAGACAGGATCTCCTGAAACCCAGACTGACCTTGAACTCGTTATATAGCAAAAACAACCTTAAATTTCTTTCTCTTTCTTTCCTTCCTTCCTTCCTTCCTTCCTTCCTTCCTTCCTTCCTTCCTTCCTTCCTTCCTTCCTTCCTTCCTTCCTTCCTTCCTTCCTTTCGTCAGGTTCTTACAAAGTACCCCAGAATGACCTAGAAGTCAATTTTGTGGCTTTGTCTTCCAAGTGTGGAGTGTGAGTTTACATGTGTTAATCACCAAGCTCAGAATGGAACTTTATACTCATTTCTAGTACTAATTGACTGAGTGATCTTGGGTCAACTTCTTAACATCTATATTTCTATTTTTAATATATTTTGTATTTTAATCTCTCTCTCTCTCTCTCTCTCTCTCTCTCTCTGTGTGTGTGTGTGTGTGTTGTACAGGTGTATAGGTGTTCAAGGAGGCTAGAAGAGGACATTGGATTCCCTGGACCTGGAATTGCAGGTATTTGTGATCTGCCTAACTGGCATGTTGGGAAGAAAAAAAAAACTCAGTTCCCCTAGAAAAGCAGTGAGAACTCTTAACCACTGGTCCATCTTTCCAGCCCAATTTATACACTGCATTTCTGAAGATACCTGATTGGAACTTGATGCATCTCACAGGGCTGGTAGAAATCTCTAATGAAATAATGGGTGGGAAATGTTTTAATAACAGAATGCCGGGTTATTACATAAAACAAATTCTGGGCTTGGTCCATTCTCCAGAAGTGTAGAAGATAATAAAAACATTATTCCTGGGTGTGGTAGTACACACCTGTAATCCCAACACTCAAGAAAGTGGGGCAGGAGGACCGCTACAAGTTCAAGGCTAGCCAGTACTACATAGTAAGAACCTGTCACAAATAAAATAACGGTATTGTTTAGGAACCAATATAATGAGAGACAACGTAATTTATAAAGAGCTGTTCAGCAACTGTAACAGTGCGAATGATAACTCTGAACACATGAAAATGTATAGCATTTTGAGAAATAATGTGATAAAGAGATATTATGTAAGTAGATGCGTATATTCGAAACATCTCCACTGAAATTATCACCCATATATTTTATCGCTTAGATGCCGGGCCTGGGGATACCGAAATTATCAATACTGAGCTTAACAGATCTTGAGCATCTATAGTAAGCATCTTACAAAAAATACTACAAAGCTATACTTTTAGGGAAGAAAGGGGATACTTAACTGGGCACGGTTGTGTACTTGGGTGTGTAGAAGGTATGTGGAGAATTTGTAGCCTGCCTAGACTAGGAGGGAAACACCCTGTATTGTAAAATTTTAAAAAGAAGAAGAAAAATCTAAGCTGGCGTCAAATTTGTGATCTTATTGCTTCTTCCTTGGAGTACTGTGATTACAACTCCAGAATTACCCTAAGGGAGGAGCTGTGGACGGTCAATGGCTTCTGGGGAGGCGAGAGAACCAGCTCTTTTTGAACAGGCTGTAGCTTCTGGTAGATTAACCACACATCTAGTGGATGGCCTCACACCCATGCGGATATGAACAGCACAAATGGGAGCTGAGTTACTAAAAGAAAAAGGAATGAAGATGGGAGGGGGTGGAGAGGTGTTAGCCGGTCTGGGAGGAGTTGGGTGTGAATACGATCAAAGTACGTTGGATGAAATTCTTAAAGAACTCAGCAAAAGACTTAAAAATAAATATTTTGGGCTGGGGATAAAGCTCAGATGGTTAACTGTTCAAGCAGTGTGGACAAAACTCTGAGTCTGATGCCAAGCACTGCATAAACCGGACGTGGTGCCTCTCACCTCTGATCCCAGGACGTAGAAGGTAGAGTCAGGAGGCCTAGAAGTTTAAGGTTGACCTTGACTTCCCAGAGAGGCACTAAAGTACACACCCAGCCTGGATAGTGTGAGATTCTCCCTCAGGAAAAAAAATCATAGTTCATTTGATACAGTGTCCATATAGCCCAGGCTGAACTTGAAAAAGCTATGAAGCTAAGAATAAACTTTTACTTTTGATCCTTCTGCCTTCACTTCTCAAGTGATGGGATGTAGGTGTGCACCCAAGTTGTTACTGGGGTTACAGAGGCCCAGTGTCACTCCTGGTTTATGTGGTGCAGGGGGATCTCAGGACTTCATGCATTCCAGGTAAACACTCTACCAACTGAGTTGCTCTCTCTTCCTCCCTCCCTCCCCCTCTCTACCTCCTTCATTTTTACCCTCCTTCCCTCCCCCCTCCCACTTTTCCTTTTTTCATTTTCTCACATGTGTTGAGTCTGGCCTAGAATTTACTATGTAACCCAGGCTGCCCTTAAATTTATGAACGATCCTACTGCCTTAGCCTCTCAAGTGCCGGGATTATAAATGTACACTACCACGTGTGCCTTACTTGTTTGGAGGGAGGGTCTTATGCACTCTAAGCTGTCCTCAAATTCATTACCTTGCCTAGTCTGGCCTTGAACCCTTGACTCTCCAAACCCTTGACTCTTCCAAATACTGGGATTATAGGCCTGTCTATGCCTGCATAGACTACTTTTTGTGTGTGTGTGTGTGTGTGTGTGTGTGTGTGTGTATCTCTCATTCTGCCCTTGGACTTATTATGTGGCCTAAATTGGCCTCAAAGATATGACAGTCCTTTTGCCTCAGTCTCCTGAGTGTTGACAGTCTTATATTTTAACTTTCATGTGAGTTATAGTCATTCAAATTAACCTGAAAAGATGTCCATGAGCTCTCAAGTGAAAAATGAGTAGCAAATTGGATTTTTTCACTAAAAAGACCAGGAGAAGTATGATGAGTATAATCATTACCCCAACAAATATAATAGGTAAGGAAGAACAAGAAATTACTTTTTTTCTTGTGTGTATTATAAAACAACCAATTTTGGACTAGAGAGATGGTTCAGAGGTTAAGAGCACTGGCTGTTCTTCCAGAGGTCTTGAGTTCAATTCTCAGCAACCACATGGTGGCTCATAACCATCTATGATGAGATATAATACCCTCTTCTGGCCTGCAGGTGTATATGCAGGCAGATACTGTATACATAATAAATAAATATTTACATCAAATTAAAACAACCAATTCATAAAAATTCAGTTAAGTAAAAATATAAATATCACCAATTGGTCAAATGGGACTTGTTTAGTTTCCTGTGACTCCTGTGAAAAACAACAACATAAACTTTTTGTTTAATACAAATTTGAAAAAAACCACACATTCACAATCTTACGGTTCTGTGGTTAGTAGTTGGAAATGACGCAGTGGGCTAGAACCAAGGTGAGCAAGACTGCATTCTTTTGGGGAGATTCTAGGGGAGAGCTGGTTTCGTGTCTTCAACAGTTGCAGGGGTTGCTTGTGTTCCTTGAGTCAGCAACCATCAGTCTGGTCTTTCTCACCTCTTGTTATTCTGACACCCTTGTTTACTTTTTGGGACACCTGTAATTGCACTGAGCCTGGCAGACAAGCTAGGATAATTTTCCCATTGTAGGTCATGTGATCAGATGATTACTAATCTTTGTGAACTTTGAAACCTTCATTTTCTGTTGTCATGTAAGGATATGTGTTCATGGTTTCTGGGGATTAGAATATGGACGTATTTGGAAGAGCATTACTCTGCCTACCAAGGAGCCTAAGGATAACAGTTTCCTTGTTCCATGACTGGAAAGGCTGCATGGCAACGCTGAGCGTGTGGGATGCTAGTGATTTATCTAGAGGTCCAATGTGATGTCACAATCTCACCCTGACAGTGCTTCAATCTAGTATAGTCTGAAGGAAAACCTGCTATAATCATTTTGTACCTATGTTGAGCCCAGGAATCAATAGGATTTCTAATTCTTTGATTTCTTTTTCTTTCATCTTTATTTCCCTCTCTCGTCTCTGTCTGTCTGTCTCTCTCTCTGTTTCTGTCTATCTGTCTCTCCCTCCCCCCCCCTGTGTGTGTGTGTGTGTGTGTGTTGTGTGTACATGTGAAGATCAGAGGTCAGTTTGCAGATGTCAGATCTCCCCACTGTGTTGATCACAGAGATGAAACACAGTAGATCAAGCTTGCTGTCCTGTATATTTACCCACTGAGCAAACTCATCCACTCCTTGTGGTTTTATTTTTATTTTATTTTATTTTATTTTATTTTAATTTATTTATTTATTAAAGATTTCTGTCTCTTCCCAGCCACCGCCTCCCATTTCCCTCCCCCTCCCCTAATTAAGTCCCCCCCCCCCTCAGCCCGAAAAGCAATCAGGGTTCCCTGTCCTGTGGGAAGTCCAAGGAACCTCCCAGCTCCATCCAGGTCTAGTAAGTTGAGCATCCAAACTGCCTAGGCTCCCACAAAGCCAGTACGTGCAGTAGGATCAGAAACCCAGTGCCATTGTTCTTGAGTTCTCAGTAGTCCTCATTGTCCGCTATGTTCAGAGAGTCCGGTTTTATCCCAGGCTTTTCCAGACCCAGTCCAGCTGGTCTTGGTGAGTTCCCAGTAGAACATCCCCATTGTCTCAGTGTGTGGGTGCACCCCTCATGGTCCTGAGTTCCTTGCTCGTGCTCTCTCTCCTTCTGCTCCTGATTTGGACCTTGAGAATTCAGTCCTGTGCTCCAATGTGGGTCTCTGTCTCTGTCTCCTTTCATCGCTTGCTGAAGGTTAATATTCAGGAGGATGCCTATATGTTTTTCTTTGGGTTCTCCTTATTTAGCTTCTCTAGGATCACTAATTATAGGCTCAATGTCCTTGGTTTATGGCTAGAAACCAAATATGAGTGA